TGTCTGCAAGGATTCGAAGGTTGGTCTGATCTATCCTTTCGGGGGGATAGGTATCAAGATCCTAATTTCATAGACCAGGAAACATTCTCAGAGTCACTTGATGGCAGAGCGGGTAAGGATCCTCCGTTACTTCTTTGGGTTACAGAGACTCAGAGAGGGCAGTGGCTTGCCCAAATTGCACAGCAAGGGGAGAGGAGTAGAGGTGGGATTAGAACCTTGGTCTCCTGCCCCTCTTCCCAGTGTTCTTTCTATGCCATCTCACCTCCTCCCAACCCCACACACTTCCTTCCCACTGGGAGCCCCCCACCTGCATCTGCCCTCACTTTCCTCACCCGCAGATTCTCCACGGATTTGCAGATGATTCTGGGAAAGGTTTGCAGAGATTCCAGCTTTTGTGTCCCCCAAGAGTAAGATTAAATCCACACAAAAGAAGGGTTAGTCAACAGCCTGGACTCTACCTCTCCCCAGCCTGGATCTCCGTATACCTGCAAAGACCAAAAAACTTCTTTCTTGCCAGCACCTGAGGAGGCTGCACTCCCTCTTCCCACTCTCTGTGCCTGCTCTATTTCTCTGGACTGTGCAGAGAATCTGGGGGAGTAGAGGGGGGCCGGCAGAGAGAGCTGGAGACTGTCACTGGGGAAGGACAGGAGCCTTTTTGGTAGAGGAGTTGGCAGAAACTTCTGGCTCTGCACATTTTGAAATAACAATAGCAGTAATATGTGTGAAATTACCCAGTGATAGAGGTGACATATGTTCTGTCCCTCCCCTGCAGAAAACTCAGGGATAGTCCCCCGTGGTTGTCCCCTCCCCTCTCAACATGTTGGCCACAAGAGCCCAGGATCACACCAGCAGGAGGCTGTTATCAGAGTGAAGTCGTATTTTCCAGGTATGTTCATTTACATTCAGGTTTTGTGATGGAGGGACCATCTAAAGAGGGTGAGGAGGGGGAACTGGGTGGGGAGAAAAACAAAGCCACACAAGCAACTTTGGTCGGAGAGGGAATGCTCCTTCCTTAATTAACATGGTGACAACATTAAGAAAACAGGCTTGGGGGTGGCTTGGCGGTAGCTCACACCTGTAATCCCAGCACTTAGAGAAGCCAAGCCTGGCAGGTTGCTTAAGCCCAGAAGTTCAAGGCCAGCCTGTGTAACATGGTGAAACCTGGTTTCTACAAAAAATACAAAAATGAGCTGGGTGTGGTGGCACACGCCTGTAGTCCCAGCCACTTAAGGGGCTGAGGCAGGAGGATCACTTGAGCCCAGTAGGTTGAGGCTGCAGTGAGCCAAGACTGCGCCACTGCACTTCAGCCTGGGTGACACAGTGAGACCCTGTCTCAAAAAGAGAGAGAGAAAGAGACAGAGAAGAAAAAGAAACAAGGCTTGGCCAGGCACAGTGGTTCACACCTGTAATCCCAGCCCTTTGAGAGGCTGAGGCAGGAGGGTCACTTGAGCCCAGGTGTTTGAAAACAGCCTGGGCAACATAGCAAGACTCCGTCTCTACAAAAAATAAAAAATGAGGGGAGTATGGTTGTGCACATCTACAGTCCCAGCTACTCAGGAAGCTGAGGTAGGAGAATCCCTGGAGTCCAGGAGATCGAGACGGAGGCTGCGGTGGGCTACAAATATGCCACTGTACTCCAGCCTGGGCAACAGTGTGACAGTGTGAGACCCTGTACCCCCAAAAGAAGCAAGAAAGCAAAGAAGGAAGGAAGAAAGGAAAGAAAGGAAGAAAGGAAAGAAGGAAGGAAGAAGGAAGGAAGGCGAAAAGGAAGGAAAGAAGAATAGAAGGAAGAAAGGAAGGAAGGCAGCCTAGCAGGTCTGGTGGCTCATGCCTGTAATCCCAGCACTTTGGGAGGTGGGTGGATCACCTGAGGTCAGGAGTTTGAGACCAGCCTGACTAACATGGTGGAACCACATCTCTACTAAAAATAGAAAAATTAAACAGATACGGTGGTGCATGCCTGTAATCCCAGCTACTCAGGAGGCTGAGGCAGGAGAATCACTTAAACCCAGGACGCAGAAGTTGCAGTGAACCAAGATCGTGCCACTTCACTCCAGCCTCGGTGATAGAGCAAGACTCAGTCTCAAAAAGAAAAAAAAAAAAGGAAGGCAGGCAGGCAGAAAGGAAGGAAGGAAGAAAACAAGCTCTCTCAGGAGTGTGTGTGTGTGTGTGTGTGTGTATGTGTGAACTTCTTTTTCCTGATTACCCAAATAACACTTGCTCATCAGAACATTTGGAAAGTAGAAAAAGAAATATTATCCATAACCTTATCTCCCAGAGGCAATCATTTTACAATTCTGATGCATTTCTTTTTTTTTAAAGACGGGGTTTCACCGTGTTGGTCACGCTGATCTTGAACTCCTGACTGCAGGTGATCCGCCCACCTTGGCCTCCAAAATGCTTGGATTACAGGCGTGAGCCACCACACCTGGCCAATTCTGATGCATTTTTAAGAAAAAACATTTTTAAAATTACTACCCCACCTCAAACCGTGTTTAATGTTTCTTTGTCCCCTGTGGTCTTTACATGCAAGCATGCTATTGACATAGTGAACAATGGAGGATTCTGCTTTTTTTTTTCTTCTTTTTCATTTTTTTTTTTTTAAATAAAGATGGGTTTTCACCATGATGTCCAGGCTGGTCTTGAACTCCTGACCTCAGGTGATCCACCCACTTTGGCCTCCCAAAGTGCTAGGATTACAGGAGTGAGCCACTGCGCCCAGCTGGGTCCTTTTTTTTTTTTTTTTATGAGACGAAGTTTCACTCTTGTTACCCAGGCTGGCGTGCAATAGCGTGATCTCGGCTCACCGCAACCTCCGTCTCCTGGGTTCAAGTAATTCTCCTGCCTCAGCCTCCCGAGTAGCCGGGACTGCAGGCGCGCGCCACCATGCCCAGCTAATTTTTGTATTTTTAGTAGAGACGGGGTTTCACCTTGTTGACCAGGATGGTCTCTATCTCTTGACCTCATGATCCACCCGCCTTGGCCTCCCAAAGTGCTGGGATTATAGGCGTGAGTCACCACGCCCGGCCGGGTCCTGCTTTTTAACATCTACATTTCAGTGTAAACGTGAGTCCATGTTACTGGGCAGCCTTTACACCTTTCATTTTGTGGCTCCACAATACACCCAGGTTGTAACATCAGCTTCCTTCCCTTTCTAAAGAACACTGCAGCGAACGCCTTCCCTCCCCGCTGGATGAACAGGGCATTCGGATGGGCAGGGAAACTGGGAGTCTCATCTCCTCTCACCACCTCCCTACTGAGGAGAGCTGCCCTAAGTTCGTGAAAATAGTTGAGGGGTGCAGTGGGGCTAGTGAAGGTCCCTTGCCAATCAGTCAGAGAATCTGAACCTGGAGTCCTAACTCTGACCTCTGATGTGCCTGTGAGGTGGGGAATATGTGTGAGGTTGGGGGTGAGGTGGTTCTGAATAGATTTGCAAAATGTGAGGGAAAATGTGCTGTGGTGCCTCCTCCCTGAGTGCCTTTGCACAACATTGGCGCCCTCTGCTGTCCCTGCTCGTCTAAGTTTGGACCATTTCAGTTTGGAAATTCTAATTGTAGATCAGTCTATCCTGAGTCTCTTTTTTGGTTAGTGGGGAAGTATCATTTAACAGCAATGAAACAGCATTCGGAGGTCGGGTGTGGTCCACAGCTCTTTAGGTCCACCCTAAACCCAGTACCCAGAACTTTAGCCTCCTTCAGGAGACTTTCTTATCTGAACTACACTCTTAGATACTGAGGAGATAATCGAGCCGGCAGGGAGGTGGTGGGGGCAACTGAGGGAAGCAGTTGAGAATGAGGCAGCATGTTCCCTGAAGACCCTGTCCTAGCCACTTCCTTCTCCAGGTGAAGAAAAAAGCTGAGCAATTGGCAACTTAGCTCACCTCCTGCATCTGATAAAGGCCACAGGTGGGTACACATGGAGTGGTTAGATGGGTCTTCCAGCCTCCTCGTTTATTATGCAAATGGAGAAGCAGGGAGTGGCTCTTTCCTAGTAACTCCAAGATTCCTGAAGTGTAAAAGTTTAATGAGCCTTGTGCAGTAGAGGAGTAGGGCAGTCCTGGCTTCCTGGGGCCAGGGGCTTGCATAGTCACAGAGGTGCTGCATTTAGAAGGGCTCTAAGTTTTCTTTTTCCTTTTCTTTTTTTGGGGGGGAACGGGCTGATCTCAAACTCCTGACCTCAGGTGATCCACCCGCCTCGGCCTCCCAAACAGCTGGGACTATGGGCTTGGGCCCCCTCACCTGGCCCACATTTTCATTTTGTAGCTTATACAGGAGGCTGGAGTGGTGGGAGTGATGTCTGTCTTCTGGCTATATCTCCACCCTCCCAGGGCAGGTAGCTAGGGGGTTGAGATTCTAAAAACCAAGGGAAAGCTTCCCAGGGCCCAGCCTCCCCATATAATTCATAGGACAAGTCTGGAATAAGCAAGGATTATGTCCATAAAAGGAAATAAAAAGACAATATTGGTCCATGAGTCAAGCGAGATCATGGCACAAAGAAGCAGGGCACTGTTCCCCAGAGCAGGGATCAGTTCAGAGAAGAGGTCGGGAGCAGCTGGGGGATAGACAACAGTCCTCGGACTAGCAGCCCTTTGCGGAGCCCTCGGCTGGTGCAGGTTCTGCTTTCTCGCGGGAAACGCTCCCCGATCCATGCTAGCTGACAGCCCTCCGCACCGCGCCGCTGCGGCCTCTGTGCCCCGAAGGCTTCTTCAGCAGCCTGGCAGTGCTTGAGTTGAGGGCAGCGTTTCGGCCTCCCCAGTGTACCCGTTCCTCGCTGCGCTGACAACTAGGTCAACGGTGCATGGTCCGTGGGTGCCCTACGCGCTGGGCGTGACGTCCAGCCCGCGCGCTGCCCCTACGCAGGCCAATTTCGGCCTGGGGTGCTGTCTGAACTGGGCGCTGGCCGCACACTCAGCTCGCCTGGAATACACTGGACGACACCTGCCTGCCTGACTTCTGCCTCTACAAACTGGTCTGGCATTGCGCCCCGGGCTGATGATAAAAAGGTGCCAGGAGGCCCTGGGACACCGCGCAGAAGCACTGCGGGAGCCAAATGGGGCAGGGCTTTCATAGCCCTGGACCTCTTCTCTGAACTGGTGCCTGCTCTGGGGAACAGTTTCCTGCTTCTTTGTGCTACGATCACGCTTGATTCATGGTCAATATTGTCTTGTCTTTCCCTTCCCTTTCTTTTTATGGACGCAGTCGTCCTCACTCACCCCAGACCTGTCCTGTGAATTGTGATGGGGAGGCTGGGCGCTGGGAAGATTTACTTCGGCTTTAGAATCTCACCCCACTGTGGTCATCCAAGCTTTCCAAAAAGGAAAAAAAAAAAAAAAATCTTTTCTAATCTCTCTCTCTCTCCTTCCTTCCTTCCTCTTTTCTTTCTCTTTCTTTCTTTCTTTTGGACATGGTCTTGCTCGCTTACTGAAAACTTTTGGTCTCAGGTGATCCTCCCACCTCATCCTCCCGAGTAGCTGGGACTACACGTGGAGCGCCGTCACTCTTGGCTAAATTTTGTGTTTTCTTGTAGAGATGGGGTTTCACTATGCTGCTCAGGCTTGTCTTGAACTCCTCAGCTCAAGCGATCCACCTGCCCCGGCCTTCCAAAGTGCTGAGATTACAGGCGTGAGCTACTGCGCCCGCCCAAGCTTGGATTTTACATGCTCAGGAGGTGTCAAAGAAGGGCATATTCACATTGTGAGAGACGTGCAGGAGGAATTCCAGGGATTTTTCTCTCCTGCTTCACAGGTAGCAGTGTTGACACAGCTCGGATGGCCACGAGGGGGTTGAGATTCTAAAAGCCCAGGGAAACTTTTCTGGGGCCCATACAATTCATAGGACAGGTTTGGAGTAAGTAAGGACTATGTCTATAATATGTGAATTCCTGCCAGTGCCGGGAGAGAGCATGGGGTTGGAGCTTTGCCCACCTCTCCCGCGCTGACTGGGTCTGGACAAAGACATGGACCTTCGCCGAGCCTTCTCAGGCAAGCTCCGACCTCCCCGGTGCTTCCGGGTGAAATCCTCGGTGGTCTGAACAGTTGAGGCAGGCGACGATCCCTGAGGGCTGTTGGACCAGTGTGGATGCATCCTGGAGTTAGGGTCGAATTCTGAGTGGAGGCTGCAGCGCGGACTCGGCTGCTTCCGGTAGATGGCGGAGGGGCGGAGGGCGCTTCAGCACCACGGGGTGGACAGCACCCGGGAGGCAGCAGCGGAAGCCTGCAGCGGAGGTCGCTGCCCAGCTCCCCAGACTACTTCCGCGGTCTTTACCCTGGAATAGAAGCGGAGGGACAGTCCCAGCGGGGCGGAGCTTCGGGGCCAGGACCTCACCGCCTACAGGCTGTGCGGAGCTCGGGCCTGCGCTCGGGGAATCTTGCCGAGCTTTGGCTCAGAGATATGGGGGAGGGAGCTGGGTGGGACCACCTGATCCACTCGGAATGTGGGTGCGATTCATCCAGCAGCGCGCTGCCGGGGTCAGAACACCGAACCTTGGTCACGCTCCTGGAGCCTCCTTGGAATTCCAGTGTAGACACCGTAGCGGCTGCTAGTTGCAACCGACCCTCAGGGCGCAGCCGGCCCAAACTTGCAGCCTCAACTGCGACCTCCCGCCCCTGGTTAAAAGGCAACCTATGACTTCTGGGTTGGTTCAAAAAAAAAAAAAAGGCAACATAACGACATCCCGAGGGGCAATGGGGTACAGAAGGACTGTTCTAGGGCAGCGGGGCAGAGCGGTCCCGCTGCGCAGCGCTATGACAGCGACGACACCGTGAGCGTTTATAGGAAGCAGGATCATGGACCGTTTCTAGGAAGCCCGTAGTAATTAAGTGGAATTAAGATTCCAGGGTATTTTACACGCGGTTCTTTCAGAGCCTTTCAGCAGCCGAGGACGGTGGGCCCGAGCATCAGCTGTCATCCACGAAGGCTCTCAGAGGGCAGCCGACCCCTCTACATCACACAGCCCAGGGGCTCTGAAGCCGACTCGAATACAGGCTTCTGCACCCCACATCTGCTGCTCGTCCTCGGCACCTGCTGCCTCGCGGGAGCCCGTCGCCTGCAGGACAGAGGGCTTCCCTGCAGCCGCGCCGTTCGCTGTGCCTCCGGCATCAGTCGTGGGCGCCCCAGTCCCAGTCCAAGAGCGGCCTTGGACTAAACTGGGCCTGGAGACTCGTAGGGATGGTGGCGGCAATTACGGACCTGGGAGGGCGAGCGCACCTGGCGCAGGGACCTTCGCCAGGTGGGACCACCTGATCCACTCGGAATGTGGGTGGGGCTCCTGGTTAGTGACTTGTCTATAAACAACGCCCCATCCCGTGAGCTGGAGTTCAAGGCTAATCACCACTGTTCCACTTATTCAGAGCCGGTCCATTTCACAGGTGTTCCCCGGGAGCCGGCCGGGTTCCACCTTTTGGCTGTTTGGCTGTTTCAGCTTCCTGAATTTCTGATCTGGCCTACCCACAGCAGCCTTCTGGAGGAGACTGGCGGGACACAAGGTGAGCCCCTGGTACTTAGTAATGTCCACAAGTCAGGGTCTGCATAGCTGCTGCCTTGACCTCAGCCAGCCAAACACCTTGTTGGGGAGGAAGGAGAGGGATCTCTGATGGCTGGGGAGAGCCCAGGTCCAGCTTTTGGGGACCAGGGACCTACACTGTGGAGGGAGCCACACCTTGTCCTCTGGGTAACCAGAGAGGGCTGTACTCACTGCACACCAACAGTGACAGGCATTTCTCTCCTGAACTCCAAGGAAGCCCTCCTCAGACCAGAACTTAGTCCCCACTGCCAGCAGCTGCTCAAAATATACAGTCTCTTGGCCAGGCACCATGACTCATGCCTGCAATCCCAGCATTTTGAGAGGCCAAGGCAGGAGGATGGCTTGAGCCCAGGAGTTCCAGACCAGCCTGAGCAAGATGGTGAGACCTTATCTCTCCAACAACAACAAAAAAGTTTCTGCCCTTAGTCCCAGCTACTCGAGAAGCTGAGGCAGGAGAATCACTTGAGCCCAGGAGTTTGAGGCTGCAGTGAGCTATGATCATGCCACTGCGCTCCAGCCTGGATGACAGAGAAAGATCCTGTCTCTATAAAAAATTATATACAATATTATATATATGTGTATGTATATATATATGTACACATATACATATATAAAATATATTACATATAATCTCAGCAGGAGGGGTGGCTGAAAGAAGGCCTGGGTAGGTTTTGTAAAGAATGAGTTCACTGGACTCCCCTGCAAAACTCTACCTGTGGAACCGAGAGCGAAGGCCTTGCCACTTCCTCCCCACTAGGTGGGGCACAAGTGGCAAGTAGGCCAAGGATAAATGCTAGGGTGACATGAGGGTGTCCAGCCTGTTAAAATGGTCATTGCAGATGTCACACTGGCCTGGGAGCAGCAGGGCTTGGAAAACAGCTGCTGCCACCTGCCCGCCCTCATGGTCCCAGAGATAGGGTAAGCAGTAAATGATTCAGGGCAGGACTCCACAGCTGATGGTTTGGTTGGGCACAGCAGATTCAATTTTTTCTTCCCTTTTTTCTTTTGAGACAGAGTCTCGCTCTGTCACCCCGACTGGAGTGCAGTGGCGTGATCTTGGCTCACTGTAACCTCCACTTCCCAAGTTCAAGCGATTCTCCTGCCTCAGCCTCCCGAGTAGCTGCGACTACAGGCACGTGCCACCAGGCCTGACTAATGTTTTGTATTTTTAATAGAGATTGGGTTTCACTCTGTTAGCCAGGATTGTCTTGATCTCCTGACCTTGTCATCCACCCGCCTTGGCCTTCCAAAGTGCTGGGATTACAGGTGTGAGCCACCGCACACAGCCTCATTTTTAAAAATACAGAGTCTTGCTCTGTCACCCAGGTTAGTGCAGTGGCGTGATCTTGGCTCACTGCAACCTCCACCTCCCAGGTTCAAGTGATTCTGCTGCCTAAACTTCCTGAGTAGCTGGGACTACAGCTTGTGCCACCATGCCCAGCTAATTTTTTGTATTTTTAGTAGAGACAGGGTTTTACCGTGTTGGCCAGGCTGGTCTTGAACTCCTGGCTTCAAGTGATCTGCGTGCCTCGACCTCCTAAAGTGCTGGGATTACAGGTGTGAGCCACCATGCCCGGCCTAGCAGATTCTATTTTTAACAATCTTCCTTCTCTGTCCCACCTTGGAGCCCTCTTGATTTTGTCTGTTTATCTGGCAGGGCCTGCTGTGCTCCTTGGGGATGTGACCAGAGCTCTGAAGCACAGGCTCCCCAAGTATGCTCTTCCCTTGCTCCTCAAGTGTGGCATCCTCCCTCAGCTTGTATGTCTGGGCTTCATGTTCTGAGGCAGGAAACTGGATATTACTGAGGTACAGCCACTCAGCTGGGACCACGGGAGGCAGAAGCAGAGGGTGAGAAACAGGAGAGGACAAAGTGGGCACCTTCTCATCAAGGACTGGAGCCTAGCCTCGGAGGCCTCTTTCCTGCTGAATATGATCACAATAACAGAATAATAACAGTAGCTCCCAATTCTTGCCCATTTACTGTACATCTCTGAGAGGCATGCTGCAAGTAATTTATATGCATCATTTCATTTAATCCTTTCAGCAATCTGTGAGGTATGTGCTGTGATGATGTTCATTACACATATGGGGCTGGTAGAAGTTAAATTACCTAGACCACACTGTCAGAAAAAGCTAGGATTCCAACACAGCCTATCTGACTTCAGATGCCTCTCAGATATGTTCCTGGTCTTGCAGGAGTTTTTCTTGGTGGTGCTTCAAAGCCTCATGGAGCATGACCTCTCTGATGATCTCAAGACAAAACTCCGCAAAAGAACTCCAGCAGGGTATCAGGCTGGAGGGCTTGTGGGGGGTGGGGGGATGCATGTATAGAGGGTGGTTGGGTGCATTCTGGATGAACCAGAGTGCCAAGAGGAACTCCCCCAAACTTCCAAGGTCCTCTCAGGGTTGGACAGCCAGGAGAAGGTGGCTTCCTCAAAAAAAGAGGTACTGCTGGAGCTTGTCTGGACTGACTCCTTTCAGATCTGTGGGTAGAAGACAGCCAGTGGCTGAGCTGGGAGTTCAAGAGGAGCCCAGGAACATGCAGGCCTACAAGTCTGTCTCCATCCTGTTTGCTGGTGAGAGCAGCTTGGTGAGAGTACAGCTCCTCACTGGCCACCTGAGAGTCTGGTGGAAGTGACATAGCTCATAACTGGAGGGGCAAGGACCATGCCTGTTTCTCATAGGGGACACAGCACCAGCACAGTGTCAGATATGCAGTGCACCATATGTGTCTGTGGATAAACAATCCCCATTTTTCTTTTTCTTATGCCTCACTTTCCCCAGTGCTGGTGTCCTGGACTGAAGATCCTGGCTGGAGTGCATGTTACTGCCGACAAAACTTCAGAACACCAGGCAGGGCAAGACCAGTGACATCAGACTGAGATACAATGGCACTGATCCTGGATTTGCAGGGCCAGGATAAACAAGAGACTGTAGAGACCATTTTGTCCCATTCATTCTTTTATAGGCAGAACACAGACCCAGAGAAAAGAGATAACTTGTCCCAAGCTACCCCGTGAAGGAGGAGGAAGGCCAGGGATAAAGAGTGTGCTTCTAGAATCTTTATTTATTTATTTATATGAGACATAGTTTCACTCTTGTTGCCCAGGCTGGAGTGCAGTGGCGCAATCTGGACTCAGTGCAACCTCCGCCTACCAGGTTCAAGCGATTCTCCAGCCTCAGCCTCCAGAGTAGCTGGGATTACAGGCACCGCCACCGCGCCCAGCTATTTTTTTTTTTTTTTTTTTTTTTAGTAGAGATGGGGTTATACCATGTTGACCAGGCTGGTCTCGAACTCCTGATCTCAGGCAATCCTCCCGCCTTGGCCTCCGAAAGTGCTGGAATTACAGGCGTGAGCCACCGCGCCCTGCCGTTTGCTTCTAGAATCTTAACTCTTCGGGGTCAACCTCTCCTTCCACGCTGAGGAAACGGGATCTTCCTGCAACCCCCGAGACAACCGCCGAACAGTCACCCAACTTAGCGTTGGGGCCCGGACGTTCCGTCGATCGGATGTACGATGCTCGACTTCTAGGTCTTGAGTACAACGCAGGATAAATCGATTGGTCATCCCTGCCGGTCGCTGCCGAGCGCTGATTGGCTCGGGCTTGGGAAGTGCTGAAAAGGCCGGCGCGGGGGGCGTGCCTGGGGAAGGGACTCTAGCAGCGCTGAGCTGCCCGAGGGTGCCAGGTGCTGCCGCTGAGTGGGTGCTGGTGCGTGCGAGGCTCTCTCGAAGAAACCCAAATGCGTCGTGAGCCTGTCATGTGCCCCAGGGAGCACTGGAGGCGGGACAGGGGCTAAGACCTCCCAGTCTTCACTCCGTGTTGTCGAGTACGCATTTGAAATCGTTCCCCAACCTTGCAGTTCCTCCGAGGCCCTTCCCAGGCGCCCAGACTCTGTTGAGCCCATTGCTAAAACTCCTCGTTAGTCTTTACTACCCCTTCAGTCTCCGTTTTGAAGCAGCGGTTTTCAACCACTGCGCGTTTTAAAAAGAAGTCCATCGCAAGCCAAAAGCAGGGCGGGGTTCGCCACCTCTTCGTGCCACCCCTCTTTAGGGACACCTTAGGGTGGAGCGACGAGTCGCCCTTGACTGAGTAGTCCCTGCCCTTGCCAGGGCGATATTTCTGGAAATGCAGATTCGACCGAGCCTTGCACTAGTGAGAATTCAGTGGGTCCCTAGCACCTAGTGCAGCGGCTCCTAGCCTGAGTACTGCCCTCTTTCGGTGGGGAGGGGTTGGGTTTTTTTGTGGCATCCATGAATCTGATCTCCAACATTCCTCCACGTCAATTCCCACTACACCCAAATCCCTTACCCTCTACCTAGGCTTTCCAGCCACAGTGCTGGCTTGGGTGGGGGTGCGTGCAGTGCTGACACCAAAGTGGAGGTCCCTTGTTTCTGAGAGCGTCTCTTTTAGAGCAATGCAAACGTGAAATCCCTCCTGCCAAGAAACAATTTCAGCTCCTCCTGGATTAAAGCCTTTGAGAAACAAAGCTGAGGTAGGTAACGCAATTAAAAAAAAAAAAAAAACAGGAGTTTTAGGTAGACTAAGTGGAAAGAAAAGGAAGGAGTCTTGGGTGGGGAAGGGATTCAGGGCACTGGTAAGGACGCTCTGAATGAAGAGACCACCTAAACAGGCTTTGTGTCAGCAACAAGGCTGTTCATTCACTCGGGTGCGAGTGCGCTGAGTCCGAAGAAAGTCAGCAGAGGGTGGTGGGATAGGAGCTGGTTTTATAGGTTGGGGGTAGGTAATGGAAAGTTAGAGTTGAGGGCGGTTTTTTGCAAGTGAGTGAGGGGGACAGTGTCACAGGGTACACTGTCACAAGGTTGATCTATCAGTTTGAGGCAGGAACAGTGGTAGAATGTTGTAAAGTCGGTTAATCAGGCACTGCAGGAGCTAGCTATTCTTCTTTTGCGGTTTTTCTGTTACAGACTTTCTGGTTCTGGGAGGCCATCTGGAGGTGTACGTGTGGGTCGCCGTGGCTTGACTATGGTGTAGTCCATGGTGCAGTCAGTTCAAAGAACCTTTGCAGGCACTAGCTTCCTTATCCCTGAGCATGGGGGATGGGGGAGGGGATCATGTGTAGTCGTGGGAGGCATTGATAGAGCAACCTCATTCAGGGAAAGAAAAGTGGAGGAAGGAAGCAGAGTGAGGAAAGGCCATGGTAGAGTCTGGGGCTGTGGGGTGGACTTCTGGCAGGAGCCTTCTCCTGTCATGGCTTTGGGGCTGATATGGTTAGGTGCCTTGTGTCCCCACCCAAGTCTCATCTTAAATTGTAATCCTCATAATCCCCACTTGTCAAGCTGGGACTACAGGTGCCCACCACCACCACACCCAGCTAATTTTTGTATTTTTAGTAAAAACAGGGTTTCACCACGTTGGCCAGGATGGTCTGATCTCTTGACCTCGTGATCCACCCACCTCGGTCCCCCAAAGTGCTAGGATTATAGGCATGAGCCACCGCGCCCGGCCAAAAATAACCTAATTTAAAAACGAGCAAAGGATATAAATAGACACGTCTTTACTTTTTTTTTTAATTTTATTTATTTATTTTTGAGATGGAGTCTCGCTCTGTTGCCCAGGCTGGAGCGCAGTGGCATGGTCTCTGTTCACTGCAACCTCCACCTCCTGGGTTCAAGCAATTCTCCTGCCTCAGCCTCCTGAGTAACTGGGATTACAGGTGCCTGCCACCATGGCCAGTCTGAATAGATCCTTCCTTCTTTCCTTCCTTCCTTCTTCCTTTCCTTTTCCTTTTCCTTTTCCTTTCCTTTTCCTGTCCTGTCCTGTCCTGTCCTGTCCTGTCCTGTCCTGTCCTTTCTTTTCGCTCTTGTTGCCCAGGCTGGAGTGCAATGGTGCAATCTCAGCTTACCACAACCTCCACCTCCTGAGTTCAAGCGATTCTCCTGCTGGGATTACAAGCATGCGCCACCATGCCTAATGAATTTTCTATTTTTAGTAGAGGCAGGGTTTCTCCATGTTGGTCAGACTGGTCTTGAACTCTTGACCTCAGGTGATCCGCCTGCCTCAGCCTCCCAAAGTGTTGGGATTACAGGTGTGAGCCACCACACCCGGCGACATTTCTTTAAAGAAGATAAACAAAGGGCTAATAAATGCATGAAAAAGTGTTCAACATCAGTAATCATTAGGAGAATGTGAATCAAAACCACAATGAGATACTATGTCACACCCATTAGCATGGCTATTAAAAACAAAAGAGAGAACATAATAAGTGTTAGTGAGGCTCACACCTGTAATCGGAAGCATCCTACACTGCTGTTGGGAATGTGAAATCACATGGCCACTGTGGAAAACAGCCTGGCAGTTTCTCAGCATGGAACTACCATGTAACCCAGCAATTCCACTTCTATGTATATACCCAAGAAAAGCGAAAACATGGCCAGGTGCAGTGGCTCACACCTGTAATCCCAGCACATTGGGAGGCCAAGGCGGGTGTATCACCTCAGGTCAGGAGTTCAAGACCACCCTGGCCAACATGGTGCAACTCCAACTCCACTAAAAATATAAAAAATTAGCTGAGCATGGTGGCAGTTGCCTGTGATCCCAGGTACTCAGGAGGCTGAAGCAGGAGAATCACTTGTACCCCAGAAGTGGAAGTTGCAGTGAACTGAGATGGCACCGTTGCACTCCAGCCTGGCAACAGAGTGAGACTCTGTCTCAAAAAAAAAAAAAAAAGTGTACATACAAAGACTTGTACATGAATGTTTATAGCAGCACTTTTCATAAGAGCCAAAAAGTGGATATAGTTCAAATGTCCATCAACTGATGAGTGGATAAACAGAAAATGGAGGGCTGGGCGTGGTGGCTTACTGTAATCCCAGCACTTTAGGAGTCTGAGGTGGGTGGATCACTTGAGGTCAGGAGTTCAAGACCAGCCTGGCCAATATGGCAAAACCAGGTCTCTACTAAAATTACAAAAATTAGCTGGGCTTGGTGGTGGGCACCTGTAATCCCAGCTACTCAGGAGGCTGAGGCAGGAGGATTGCTTGAACACAGGAGGTAGAGATTGCAGCCAAGATCACACCACTGCACACTAGCCTGGGGGATAGAATGAGATTCTGTCTTAAAAAAAAAAAAAGAGGCCGGGTGCGGTGGCTCACACCTGTAATCCTAGCACTTTGGGAGGCCGAGGTGGGTGGATCACGAGGTCGAGAGATTGAGACCATCCTGGTCAACATGGTGAAACCCCGTCTCTACTAAAAATACAAAAAATTAGCTGGGCACGGTGGTGCGTGCCTGTAATCCCAGCTACTCAGGAGGCTGAGGCAGAAGAATTGCCTGAACCCAGGAGGCGGAGGTTGCGGTGAGCCGAGATCGCGCCATTGCACGCCAGCCTGGGTAACAAGAGCAAAACTTCGTCTCAAAAAAAAAAAAAAGAAAAGAAAAGAAAAAGAAAAATCAGAATATGGACTCTCCAACAGAACATTATTTGAGTCCAACCGCCAGCAGGCCACTATAGAACCGAGAAGAGCCTGTGTTCCAGTTTGAAGGTCATCCTGCGGGGAATGTTCTCTTACTTGGGTGAGCATCAACCTTTTGTTCTATTCAGATCCTCAACTGATTGGATGAGGCCCATTCGCATTAGAGAGGGCAGTCTCCGTTACTCAGTTTACCACAGAAAGATAAACTGAATGTCCTCACTTCTCTGTGGGAGCTAAAAATTAAAACAGTGGAATTCATGGAGATAGTAGAAGGATGATTACTGAAGGCTGGGAAGGGTAGTGGCAGGTAGGGGTGGGGAAGGGGAGGTGGTTAATGTCGCACGTGTTACTCACGTAAAGAGACCACCAGACAGGCTTTGTGTGGGCAACTGTTTATTTTGTGCTTGGGTGCAACCAGGCCAAGTCCGAGAAAGGGGTTAGGCAAAGGGGGTAGGAGAGGGGATTGGTTATATAGTTGGGGCAAATGGTCAGCTAAAGGTGGTAATCTATCTTGGGGAGGGGGAGGACGTCACAGGATGCATGACTATAAGGGCAGGGGTTGGTAATCCATCTTGGGGAGGGGAAGGGTGTCACGAGATGTATGATCACAAGGTAGGAGTCATTTATTACGAACAGGCATGATCATAAGGGTGGGGAGTATCAGTTACAGTCAGAGGGGAGGGTGCAGTAGATTAGTTACAGGGGTGGGTGTCTTGAGAAACCCCGTGTCCCGGGGGGAGTTTTTGCAAGGATGAACAGGAATAATGGATGCAGGTTGCAGCAATTAGTTGAGGTAGGAAGGAGTTGCTTTACTTCTTTCTATGGCCACCTGGTTGCTTGTGGTTGCTTCAGACTTTCTGGTTCCTGGAGACCCATCCAGAGGTGTACATGCGGGTCACCAAGGCTAAAATGGCCAGGCCTGGACTTGGAGGCCTAACAGTTAATGGGTAAAAAAAAAGGTTAACTCTTAATCTCATCCAAAACACCCTCCCAGAAATACTCAGTAATCTTAGACCAAGTATTTGTTTACTTGTGGCCCAGTCAAATTAACACATAAAACCGATCAAGTATTGATACATGCTGTAACATGTATGAAACTTGAAAATGTTATGCGAAGTGAAATTAGACCACATGTATCACAAAGATTTCCTTTTACAGGAAATGTGCAGAAGAAATAAATATAGAGACAAAGCAGACAAGTGGCTACCAAAGGTTAGGGGGAGAGAGGAGGATTGGGAAGTACTGACTCAGAGGGGTGGGGTTTCTTCTTGGGGTGAAATGTTGCTAAATGGACAGAAATGTTCTAAATTTCACTTGGTGGACCACATCAAGTTCAAAACCTTTTCCACAGCAAAGGAAACAACAAAGTGAAAAGACCCACAGAATGAGAGGAAATATTTGCAAACAACCTGTCTGACAAGGGATTAATAACCAGACTATATAAGGAGCTCAAACAACTCTATAGGAAAAAATTGAATAATCTGATTTAAAAATGGGCAAAAGATCTGAATAGACATTTCTCAAAAGAAGATACACATTCTACACTGAAAAAAAAAAAAAAGAAGACATACAAATGGCAAACAGGGCTGGGTGCCGTAGCTCATGACTAGAATCCCAGAACTTTGGGAGGCTGAGGTGGGTGGATCACTTGAGGTCTGAAGTTTGTGACCAGCCTGGCCAACATAGTGAAACCCAGTCTCTACTAAAAATAAACAAACAAACAAATAAATAAATAAAAATTAGCCAGGTTTGGTGGTGGTCTCCTGTAACCCCACCTACTCTGGAGGCTGAGTCAAGAGAATTGCTTGAACCCAGGCAGCAGAGGTTGCAGTGAGCCAAGATTGTGCCACTGCACTCCAGCCTGGGAGACAGAGCAAGACTCCATCTTAAAAAAAAGTCAAACAGACCTAAAAAAAAGTGCTCAGCATCATTAATCCTCAAAGAAATGCAAATCAAAACTATAATGAGATGTCATCTCACCTCAGTTAAAATGTTTTCTGTTCAAAGACAGGCAATAACACATGCTAGCGAGGATGTGGATCTCATTGGTGGGAATGTAAGTTAATACAATCACTAAGGAGAACAGTTTGGAAGTTCCTCAAAAGACTAAAAATAGAGCTACCGTATGATCAAGGCATCCCACTGCTAGATATATACCCAAAAGAAAGGAAATCAGTACATCTAAGAGATATCTGCACTCCTGTGTTTATTGCAGCACTATTCACAATAGCCTAGATTTGGAAGCAACCTAAGTGTCTATGAACAAATCAATGAGTAAAGAAAATGTGGCACATATACACAATGGAATACTATTTTGCCATAACAAATAATGAAATACTGTCATTTGAAATAACATAGATGGAAATGGAGGTCATTATATTAAGGGAAATAGGTCAGAAAGACAAACATCACATGTTCTCACTTATCTGTGGGAGCTAAAAATTAAAACAAGTAAACTCATGGACATAAAGAGTAGAAGGATGATTATCAAAGGCTGGGAAAGATAGTGGCAGGGCAGGGTGGGGAGAGGAGGATGGTTCTTGGGTACAAAAAAATAATCAGAACAATTAAGACTTAGTATTTGCTAGCACAAAAGAGTGACTGTAGTAAAAAATAAATGTTTATTTAAAAGTGACTAAAAGAATATAATTGGATTGTTGGAAACACAAAGGATAAATGTTTGGGGTGCTAGATACCCTATTAACACTGATGTAATTATGTATAACTATTTCATATACCCCATCAGTAAATATACTTCCTAAGTACCCACAAAAATTCACTTCTGTGAATATAATTTTTTCAATGTTTTAAACTTTTATTTCAGGTTCGGGGTACATGTGCATGTTTGTTATATAGATAAATTGTACGTTATGCAGGTTTGATGTACAGACTATTTCATGAGTCCGGTAAAAAGCATAGTACCTGATGGGTAGATTTTCTTTTCTTTTTTCTTTTTTTTTTTGAGACGGAGTCTCGTTCTGTCACTCAGGCTGGAGTGCAGTGGCGTGATCTCAGCTTACTGCAACCTCTGCCTCTTGGGTTCAAGTGATTCTCCTGCCTCAGCCTCCTGAGTAGCTGGGACTACAGGCATGCACCACAACATCTACCACGGTGCCCTGCCACTTTTTCTATCTTCACCCTCCTCCCTCCTTCTACCCTCAAGTAGGCCCTACTGTCTGTTATTCCCTTCTTTGTGTCCATGTACACTCAATGTTTAGCTCCCACTTATAAGTGAGAACACATAGTATTTGGTTTTTTGTTCCTTTGTTAGTTCACTTAGGATCATGGCCTCCGGCTCCACCTATGTTGCTGCAAAGGACAAGATCTCTTTCTTTTTGTTGGCTGCATAATATTCCATGGTGTATACATACTACATTTTCTTTATCCAGTCTACCATTGATGAGCATTTAAGTTGATTCCATATCTTTGCTCTTGTGAATAGCACTGTGATGAACATACATGTGGACATCTCTTTATGGTAGAAAAACGTAATTCGGTGAATATCATTAAAGCCATTGAATGATAAACTTTTTTCAGAGACAAGGTCTTTCTCTGTTGCCCAGGCTGGAGTGCACTGGTACAATCATAGCTCACTGTAGCCTTGGCCTCCCACCTCAGCCTCCCAACTAGCTGGGACTACCATCTAGTTGCACACCATCATGCTCAGCTAATTTTTAAAATTTACTATACTATATTGTAGAGACAGGGTCTCACTATGTTGCCCAGGCTGGTCTCAAACTCCTGGGCTCAAGCGATTCTCCCACCTCAGCCTCCCAAAGTGCTGGGATTACAGACATGAGCCACTGAATTATACACTTTGAATGGATGAATTAAATGGTACGTGAATTCGATCTTTATACATCTGTTCAAAGAGTAGCAGTCACTTATTTTAGCCAAGAGAGATGATCTGGTATTTTATGGGTGGCAGCATAGTGACCTTGTTTTTGTCAGTGCTTAAGCAAAATAATGGCATGGCCCTCGCCTCATTTTATCACGGTCTCAGAGTAACCTTATCTGGAGGTTGGTATTTGTGAGTCTGTTTATGTTCCCCATGAGAGTCAGATGAGTTTTTGACAACAGCTCCAGATGTCAGGAGCTGCTTTTTTTTCTTTCTTAGCTGAGTATTGAGAAGCTCTGCTGGGGGCCCACAGGAATGTGAATAAACACACCTGGAAAGTCTGCAGAAGCTCTGGTCCCAGCCTCCTGCTGGTGTGAGTCTGGGTTCCTGTGCTTGGGACCCTGGGAGGTGGAGGGGGACACTGGGCTGGAGGAGATCATGTACCATCTGGGATCTTTTGTGCTTTCTTATGTCTGTTGCTATTTCAAAATATTTAAAGGCAAAAGGTTCATCAACTGCTCTGTCAAGGAGGCCCTGTCATACCCCAGTGACTGCCTCCAGCTCTTACCCCTCTCTGTGACCCCCTAGGAATCTCTCAACAATCCAGGACTTGTAGGGTGGGGGTGGAGGGAAGGGATAGCAGCTGCAGCCTTTTCTGGCCCAGGCAAGAAGGAAACTTCCTGTCTTTCCTCTCCATTGCAGATTTGGGATTAAGCCTTATTTTGCAATGGATTTAATCTCAACAGACACTGAGGGGTGCCTGAAGTCCCTGTGAAACCCTTTCTGGTATCAGCTACCTATCACAGGATGCAGAGGACAAGGTCAGGTAGAGGCTGTGTTCCCAGTGAGAGGAAGGCAGGGGGAGGGAATGGAAAGAGCCCTGGAAATGGGGTGGGAAGACCAAGGTTCGAATCCCAGCCCTGCCCCCTCCTTGCAGGGCTACTTAGGTGAGAGTCCCTGCCCTTTCTGAGCTCCTTCCTTCCCTCCCTCCCTCTCTCTCCCCTCCCTTCCCCTCCCCTCCCATCGCCTCCTCTTCCCTTCTTCCCTTCCTTCCTTGCTTCCCTTTCTGTTGGCCAGGCTGGAATGCAGTAGCATGAACTCAGCTCACTGCAGCCTTGACCTTCTGGATTCAAGCCATCCTCTCAGCTCAGCCTCCTGAGTAGCTGGAACTACAGGCTTGTGCTACCACACCTGGCTAATTTTTATTTTTTTTTTGTAGAGATGGGGTTTCACCATGTTGTCTAGGCTGGTTTCGAATTCCTGGGCTCAAGTGATCTGCCTGCCTTAGCCTCCCAAATTTCTGGGATTACAGGCATGAACCATTACACTTGGCCTAGGCCTCAGTGTTCTATCCTATGACTCAGAGAGGTAGCTGAGCTCCATCTTCTAAAATGAAGTGACCATCACTGAGACTGTCTCCTTCCCTATACAAAATCAGGATTGTGTTACTCATTGTAGAAAAACCAGTAACCCCAACAAACAAGCTCACCCCCCTGGCCCCACAGACCTCCCCAGTCTCATCTCTCAAGACTCCTGCCCCTCACAGGATGCTCTGGCATACCCTGCCCCTGTGCCTCCTCTCATTTGGTTCCCTCTGCTTGGATTGCCCTTCTCACCTTTTGTTGGTGTCTACTCACCTTCCAAGACTCAGCCCAGTCCTCACCTCCTCTACGAAGCCTTCCCCAATCTCCCTTGCACTGGCTGGGTTAGGTGCTGCCCCTTGGGCTCTTTCATATCTGGGCCATTGCTCTCATAATAATATAGCTGATAATTCATAGCTAGTCATCATAGTTATAATTTATTGAGCCCTTACTCACAGCCTGCCCCTGCACCAGGGCCTTTATACAGCATCATCTCATTGAATCTGACAAAGTAAAACTCAGCTCCACATTCAAAGTAAACATCTGCCCTGTGATTGATCCCGCTGAGATAACAGAGATAAAGCCAGCAGCGGAGTTAACAGAAACAGTAGTTCTCCTAAGCATGGGGTACAGCTAGAAAGTGCCATAACCATCCCCTTCTTTGGGTTACTAGTGCTTTCTAACTGAGATTTTTTTTTTTTATAAATCATAGAGTATCAGAAACGTTGCTGCTCAGAAGTACATCAGGAAGAATGACGTATCCCACTTTTGTCTGGAGGTTAGAAATCACTTGGACACAGAGTCCATTGAGCAGCCTTGATTCCTAACCAGGTGAGGAGCTTCAGATAAGGTTTTCTAGGCAAGGCACAGTGGCTCGTGCCTGTAATCCCGGCAAGAGATGGGCAGATCACTTGAGGTCAGGAGTTCAAAACCAGCCTGGCCAACATGATGAAACTCTGTCGCTACTAAAATTACAAAAATTGCCGGGCACAGTGACTCACACCTTTAATCTCAGCACTTTGGGAAGCTGAGGTGGGTGAATCGCTTGAGGTCAGGCATTCTAGACCAGCCTGACCAATGTGGTGAAACCCTGTCTCTACTGAAAATACAAAATTAGCTGTGCGTGGTGGTGCATGCCTGTAATCCCAGCTACTTGGGAGGCTGAGGCAGGAGACTTGCTTGAACCTGGAAGGCAAAGTTTGCAGTGAGCTGATATCATGCCATTGCACTCCAGCCTGGGCAAGAAAAGTAAAACTCCATCTCAAAAACAAAACAAAACAACAAAAAAAAGTAGGGCATGGTGGCACACACCTGTAATCCCAGCTACTCAGGAGACTGAGGCATGAGAATCACTTGGATTTGGGAGGTAGAGGTTGCAGTTAGCTGAGATTGCAGCACTGCACTCCAGCCTGGGTGACAGAGTGAGACCCCATGTCAAAAAAAAAAAAAGGTTTCTGGGCACCACATCCCATGTTTATGTAGTTTTCAAGGAAAAACTTATGGAGAAGTGTTTTCTGGAATAGGCTACTTGCTGCTCACCAGCATCCCTCTCAGATCTGTTCCCATCTGAGGCAGGGACAATGCTGAGGACTGGCTGGGGGAGGACAGAGGCTCCCAGGGTGGCATGGGCCTCTGGTGGCAGCACCAGGGCTGCTGCAGGAGCATGTAGTATGGGCCAGGTGGCATTGGCGCAGCTTGCCACTTGGCCTCCCAGATTGGAGGGGACTGCCTGCCTGGGCCTCACTCATCCCCTGGCAGTTCACGCTCATGAACTGGTTTGTGCCCATGAACTCGACCTGCCATCATCCATGCATGAGTTGAGCTCCCTCCTTTTGCCAGCCCCAGGTGAGGCACCTGAGGTGGGAGGGTGGAGCAGGGCCATGATCAGTGCATCTCCCAGGCTTTCTGGAGCTCTCAGACCTCCGGCTCCCGTTTGGGTTGGCTGCCTCTTGCTCCTGCTATTACATTGTCATGCATGAATATTTCTGCTTCTTCATTTGTGGGGTCCCCAGGCACTCCACTTCCACCCCATGACATCCCATTTTTCTGAGTCTCACAGGGTCTTCATTTTAGTTCATTTCTTTATGTTTGTGAAGCACATTCTTTGGAATGACTTTGTAGAGGTACATGGTTGGTAAAGTTTGCAGACCCTGAACATTGAATGATAGATTTTTTTCTACTCTTAACATTTGATCAATATTTTGACTAGATATATACTTCTGTATGGAGATAATTTTCCCTCTAATATTTGAAGTTTACTTCTGTATTCTTCCAGTATTGCTGTGATGATTTCTAGTCCCTATGGGGTAGACTTCTTTTTTTTCCCCCAGAAGTTTTAGGATCTTCTGTTTATCCCATAGGCATTTTTCAAAATTGCCAGTGCAGTGCCTTGATTGGTATTTTTCATTCATTATGTGGATATGTGGTATCAGTTCCTTTGGCCAGTAAACATGCTCTTCCATTCTGGGGATTTACAAATTAGTTCTAATAATTTCCTCCCTATTGTTTTATCTTCCTAGAACTTCCACTAATATGAAGTTAATCAACTATTTTTGTCCCCTTCCTCCCTCCCTCCCTCTCTCCCTCCCTCCTTCACTCCCTCCCTCTCTCTCTCTCTCTCTCCTTCTCTCCCTCTCTCCCTTCCTTCCTTCCTTCCTTTTTCTTCTTTTACTCCAAATCTCCTTCCCCCACCCCCTGCTAACTTCCTGGGAGATTTTTCTCAACTTTATCCTCCAGTCCTATTGAATTTTACTAAACAGGTTAAATTCTTTGAATTTTTTTCTTTTCTTTTTTTTTTTTTTTTTGAGATGGAGTTTTGCTCTTGTTACCCAGGCTGGAGTGCAATGGCGCGATCTCGGCTCACCGCAACCTCTGCCTCCTGGGTTCAGGCAATTCTCCTGCCTCAGGCTCCTGAGTAGCTGGGATTACAGGCACACGCCACCAAGCCCAGTTGATTTTTTGTATTTTCAGTAGAGACGGGGTTTCACCATGTTGACCAGGATGGTCTCGATCTCTTGACCTCGTGATCCACCTGCCTCAGCCTCCCAAAGTGCTGGGATTACAGGCTTGAGCCACCGCGCCCGGCCCTAAATTTTTTTTCTTAAGAGTTGTGGTCTCAGTTGTTGCCCATGCTGGTCTCAAGAGATCTTCCTACCTCAGCCTTCAGAAGCTCTGGGGTTATAGGTGTGAGCCACTGCACCTGGCTAAACCGTTTACATTCTGAAAGCTCTTTCTTTGTCTTAGAATAGTTCTTTCTTTCCATCACATTGGTTTTGTTTTTGTTTCTTTGAGACAGTCTTGCTCTGTCACCCAAGATGGAGGGCAGTGGCACAATCTCAGTTTACTGCAACCTCTGCCTCCTGGGTTCAAGTGATTCTTGTGCCTCAGCCTCCCAAGTAGCTGGGATTACAGGCTTGCCCCACCATGCCTGGCTGATTTTTGCATTTTTTGGTAGAGATTGGGTTTTACCGTGTTGGCCAGGCTGGTCTCCAACTCTTGACCTCAAGCAATCCTCCTGTCTTGGCCTCCCAAAATGCTGGGATTATAGGCATGAGCCACCACACCCAGTCTCAAAAAGGTTAACAATCTTTGACTATCTCTTCCTGTTTTTTTTTTCTTAAGAGTTGTGGTCTCAGTTGGGGATGAGGCATTAAAAAGTGCTCAGAAGTTCCAGCAGAAGGGGCTTCTCCTAAGAGACACAGGACCAGAAAATACAGACTCAAAAGTAGGCCTTGGTGCCCTGGGGCTGCCCCTCATCCTCCAGTGGGCCTTTGCGTCTGTTCTAGGCTCAGAGAGAGCAGAAGGGAAAATGGGGACTACTCTGGGTGGTGTATGAAGGGTTGTAATTGCTCTGTGCGCTGCCCAGTGTAATGTTTCTCAGCCTCACCAGAGGTCATTCAGGGGGTGGAATTCTGGTTTATGTTGATGCTGAATTATTCTATTTGGTGGGAGCCTTGCCACCCTGGGCTTCAGGGAAACCCTCTTCCAGGGCCCCCTGGATTTTTCCCATTTTACCAGGCTTGCTGGATGCATTTGCATTCACATTCTTCCCCAACAACTGCTGTCACAGCTGTGGATCAGCTACTGCAATGAGAAGCTGAAGCAGCACTTTGTGACTGACAAACTGAGGGCCCAGCAGGTGTGGCCGGCAGACAAATCCGGACATCTGCACTTTCTCCAGTCTCCTGTCCCTCCTCCCAGGGTGTGCCCAGAAGCCTCCAATCCTTATTGGATGCTGTTGATGTCTTTGCCATGGCTGTCAAACCAGCCAAGGGGTAACATGTTGGTCCTTAGGTCACAGCAGCCCTTTTCTGTCCCTCCAGGGGGATTACTTTGTGAAGAAGCTAGGTCGCTGTTTGTTAACTACCATAATAACCACAGCAGTCTGGCTCTGAACAAGGGAACCCCATTAGCATCAGCTCCTTGATGGATGAGATGGAGAGCAGAGGACAGGGAGAAGGATGTTGCTGAGAAGTTTGAAGAAGTTAGTCATTAGGAGCCTTAGTGACTGTCCTGTGCCCTCTGCCCCTCTGTCTCCCCTAATGTGTTCACTAATACCCATCTTATCTGTCTCTCGGGGTCACTGTGATGTCCAGAGTAACACTTGTTTTTATCTATTGCCATGGGGGCCACAATGTGAGACCCATGAGGGAGTGGGCCTAGCAGCACCATCTGTCTCAGACATCATCCAGGGTGTACCAGCAGGCACCCTAGATAAAGAAGGGGGCCAGCTACAAGAATCAAAACAACATGATTCAGTATGCAGCATAATTATTTTAAGAATTCTGATTTTGGGCTGGGTGCAGTGGCTCATGCCTGTAATCCCAGCATTTTGGGAAGCTGAGGCAGGTGGATCACCTGAGGTCAGGAGTTCAAGACCAGCCTGGCCAACATGGTGAAACCCCATCTCTATTAAAAATACAAAAATTAGCTGGGTGTGGTGGCAGTTGCCTGTAATCCCAGCTACACGGGAGGCTAAAGCAGGGGAATTGCTTGAACCTGGGGAGCGGAGGCTGCAATGAGCTGAGATCATGCCACTGCACTCCAGCCTGTCAGAGAAAAGAGAGAGAGAGAGAGAAAGAAAGAAGGAAAGAAGAAAGAAAAGAAGGAGAGAGGGAGGGAAGGAAGTAAGTTAGGAGAGAAAGAGAAAGAAGAATCCTGATTCTGGGACAGCTCAACAGCGCTGAGGCCACCACCTGCTCTTCCCCATGGTATGAACTCAGCCCTGACACAGTGCCTAGTCCCCTGGGGCCCTGCTGGCGGGGTCTAGCCAGAACGCTCTCCATATTTCAAATTGGAACTGCCTAGCAGTTGGAGGTATCAGACCTGAGTCCTTGAATACATTTGCCAAGACTAGAGACCAGGACATGACATTTGCAGCCACCAAATAAGTGCTGGCTGCTGCTTCTGCTCCCCTGGAACATCCTCTCAAAACCCCTTTGCCTTGACTATTACCTCATCTCTCTCCTGGCCTGCACTGATCCTTGGCAGACTCTAAGGAGTCACCCATGGGGGCCTGGAGTGAGCCAGGGCATGGTTCTGGGCACCAGCACTGCCATCTGGCTGTTCCTTCTGGTGTCCTGCCGGCCCCTCTTTGCTGGACTAGTGCCTGGCCTAATATCACTGCCATCATAATCATGCTTAACTCGAGGGATATCATTTACTCCTTCAAGAGCAAGATTCTAGACCCCTCACTGCAGGGCCCTTCACTGGGGACACCTGGTCTTCCTTGCCTGCTTGGACATTGAGGGTGGAGGGAGGAAGGGTTATGGGCATTCATGGAAGCTGTGGAGGGGATTCAGAAAGAAGAGAGAGAGGCATCTTCACTGCTGGGCACGTGTGGGACCAATTTCAGGGATTGTCTCTCTGCCTGTGGTCCTCCTCCCCCCATAGGTAGCAGGGTCTGCTGCGCTTGGATGCCAGTGGGAAGAATGCGTTCTTGGAGAGTGAGTGGATCCTCCCCTGGGCTCACAGGAGGAGATGGGTCTGGAGCGGGCAGTGGAGCTGTCCAGAGTGAGCAGGTGTCTGCGGAATACGGGATGCAGAGCGGGAATGGAGCTCCACACTCTCCCAGCTTCCTGGCCCGGGACAAGCATTGGCACTCTCTGGGCCTCCTCAGGAATCTCGAACCTCCTAGGCGATTCCAGTTTGAGTCAGCCCTGCGAGCATCCAGGTGGGTGATTAGCCGGTGTGGGCGCGGCCTGGAGCAGGCAGCTAGGGAGTGGCGGCTGCACGCGGAGGACGGCTGTGTACCTGTGTTGGCTGAGTCAGGGCCGGGAGCACTTCAGCATCGCAGTCTGGACAGCGCCCTGGGCAGGCGGGTAGCTCCCTGGCTACTGGGAGAAGTGCGCCCACCCACAAGGCCAGCATTTCTCACTGAGAGGACGCGGCAGGATTGTCCAAGCGGGCCCTGAGCCTGAGGTTCGGGCGGGTGGGGAACGGGCAAAGTGGGCGTCGGCCTTTAGAGACAGGCAATTTACTGCCCTAGGCAGGCAAGCGCACGAGGCCCGGGAACCCTGAACAGGTTGGGATGCCCCTTGGGGTCGGGATGAGGCGGTGGGCTTGCGATAAAGCGTGGTGGAGTCTAGATTTAACATCCAGAACCCGCCAAGGCTGGTGGCACCCCGCCTGGGGCACGCATCTTGGACCAGTCCACACCCAGGGCTAGAATTCAAAATCTCCTGGGCTGGGTCTCTCTGGCTCAGGGCCTCTCATCTTGGGCACTACTCTTTTGATGCAGAGGCCACGTGGCAGGCCCCTGGTCTGCGCCCTGCTCAGCCTCACTCCCCTCCCCACCCCAGAACATGGAGAGCTCCACTGCTTCCCACCGAAAACTAGCCTGCTTCCCGCACCCCGCTCCCCCGCGCAGCTCCATCACTGTCAGGAGATGGGCCTCGCCTTCTTTCCGCAGTGAGGATGGCCTGGGCTCCTGTGCTAAGCAAGGCCTGCCCTGGCAAGGTCGGGTGACCTGGTGGTGGTGCCAACTGGGGTTAGCCAGGGCCGCGCAGGGACCCGCGGTGCCGCGTGATGCAAACGGAAGGGCGAGAGCAACCCGGCTCCTTACGGGTGCTTCCTGGCTGCTGCTTAAGCTGCCCTTTCTTCCCTTCCTTCTCTTCCACGGGCAACAGGCCCGTGTCTCCTTTGGCAGCCTCTGTCTCCAGAGAGGCACTGGGCAGCTAAGGCGGTCAGAGCCCTCAGGTAAATCCGCCCTCTCCAGGAGTCAGCCCTGCGAGCTGCCAGAGGGTAGGCAGGGGGATTCACCACCTTCTCAGGACTGGGAGGTGTCATCTACCTCATACCCTCACATAGGAAGAGTGAGGGGGCTGGGCCTGGCTATCCTCTTAGGTCCTCACTGGGCACCTTGAGATTCTAGGTTGGAAGGAGTCACCCCACTACCCAGCCAGCTCTACTTGCCTCCTGCCCAAGGAGACCCATGCAATGGAGGCTGCAAGACACTCTAGGGCACAGTGACAAGGAGGGATTCCAAGACTCCTTGGAAGAGCCAGATCCCTGAGCTTCTCAACAAAACCAGGGGCCACCTCTGGCCTTCACCCTTCCAAAAAGGAAGGCAGGAAAATGGTTAGAGGCAGATTGTCAGGAGAGGCCTGTGGAGTAGGCAGGGGACCAGCGCCAAGTCCTAGAAGTTGGGCAAGGGGATGTGGGAGCCAGTGCACATGACCGTGTTCTAGGGGCTTTTGGCTCTTGTCCCCCAGCCCCAAAGATGTCATGATGGTTCAACCTCTCTTCCAGGACATTCTGTAACTAGGGCAGCAGCCATGCCTGTTAACCTAGTGAAACCACTCCAGTCCTAGTACCCTGTGTCATGACCCAGAAGGTGGTGACCATATGTGATAAGTGAGTCGGGAAACAGAGTGGAGGATGAAGAGGACCACCACAGGCACCAAAACAGCACTCCCAACATAGGGAATGGGGCTCAGGGAAGCAAGGGGCTGTGGTCCCCAGTGATGTTTCTGGGCTCTCAGCTAGAGCTGCAGGAAGTTGTGGACAAATTTAACCAAGGGCTCTGAAACTCAGGTGAAATAAATAGAGAAAGGAAAGGAAGGAGACAAGAGAGAGGCAGAGATAGGCAGAATTTCAAAAGATGCAGGCAAATCAGCCCTCTTTCTGCCTCTGAGCCTATGAGCCTGAGTCTGAGATGGGAGGTGAGACCCTGCTGGGCCTCCCGTCAATCTTAGTTTCTGTAGGTATTTCTCCATACTGTGGGTTGTTTGAGGGTTGGTTTAAAACATAGTTTCTGGCTGGGCATGGTGGCTCATGCCTGTAATCCCAGCACTTTGGGAGGCTGAGGCAGGCGGATCACTTGAGCCCAAGAGTTGGAGACCAGCTTGGGCAACATGGTGAAATCCCATCTCTACAAAAAATATAAAAAATTAGCCGGGCATGGTGGTGTACCCCTGTAGTCCCAGCTACTTGGGAGGCTGAGGTAGAAAGATCGCTTGAGCTCAGAGGGTGGAGGCTGCAGTGAGCCTAGTCTGGGTGACAGAGTGAGACTCTGTTTCAAAAAAACAACAACAACAAAACCACAGTGTAGTTTCTGACTTTCGTGCTGACTGTAGAACTTAACTTTTATGAAAAAAACATAATATATTCCAAACCTTTATAGCAACTCTGATGGCACTGCAGAGGCAGGTCATTCTCCCTGGTCCTCTGTCCACTTCCATTATGGGATGTCTCCACACTGAGCTTTGCCTATATCATCTCTGAATTCGAGGCCTAAAGTGTGACCAGATTTAATCAAATCCTGCTTGGAAAATAGAGGCCCATTCAGTGGTGATCTATTCTAGCTAAAGACTTTTTATGGGGGCATTTAAATTAGAATTTCTTTCTTTTTTTTGTTTTTTGAAACAGTGTTTCACTCTGACACCCAGGCTGGAGTGCAGTGGCACAATCATGGCTCACTGAAAGTGATCCTCCTCTGCCTCCCAGGCTCAAGCAATCCTCCCACCTCAGCCTCCTAAGTAGTTGGTATTACAGGTTCACACCACCACACTGGTTAATTTTTATATATTTTTTGTAAAGATAGAGTTTTGCCATGTTTCCCAGGCTGGTCTCCAACTCCTGGGCTCAAGTGATCCTCCCACTTTGGGCTCCCAAGGTTCTAGGATTATAGGCATGAGCCACTGTACCTGGACTAGAATCTTTTCAACTGTTTAAATGAATTACAAGATAATTGGCATTTTCAGTACATAGGACTAGCATTCCATTATTTATGTACTTTAATTTTTTTAGATGGAGTCTCACTCTGTCGCCAGGTGAGAGTACAATGGCGCAATCTTGGCTCACTGCAACCTCTGCCTCCTGGGTTCAAGCAATTCTCCTGCCTCAGCCTCCTGAGCAGCTGGGACTACAGGTGTGCACCACCACACCCAGCTAATTTTTGCATTTTTGGTAGAGACGGGGTTTTACCATGTTGGTCACGATGGTCTCGATCTCTTGCTCTAGTGATCTGCCTGCTTCGGCCTCCCAGAGTGCTGGGATTACAGGAATGAGCCACCATGCTTGGCCTTAGGTACTCTTTAAAGTTTTAAAATTATTGTATAATTTCCCCATAAAGTTTTCAGATAACAATCTTACAGATTCCCAGGGAGAACTTTGGAAGAGAATGGTGTGACCACCCAGCCAAAGCCAGAATAAAATGTGGTTTAAAATTCTGGCTAAGGAAGAAAGTATGATTAGGCATATAGTTACTATTTGTTTGTTTATGAGATGGAGTTTCACTCTTGTTGCCCAGGCTGGAGTGCAATGGTGCAATCTCCACTCACCTCAACTCTGCCTCCCAGGTTCAAGCGATTCTCCTGCCTCAGCCTCCAGAGTAGCTGGGATTATATGCATGCGCCACCATGCCTGGCTAATTTTGTGTTTTTAGTAGAGACGAGGTTTCTCCATGTTGGTCAGGCTGGTCTCAAACTTCTGACTTCAGGTGATTTGCTCACCTCAGTGTCCCAAAGTGCTGGGATTACAGGTGTGAGCCACTGCACCTGGCTTTGTAGTTACTTTTAAAAGGGAACCAAACATTGGTATTTAATAAATAAAAGTCTGCTGAATGATGTAATCTTTGATGATGTCTATCATAACTATTCAAAAACCCAAAACAACCATCTAGCAGTAGGTGAATGTCAAGTTTTCTTTCCACAAGGAATTTGACACCTTGAGTATTCCATGTCTGAAACATTATATACACACATAAAGGTTAAGGCCTGAATTACCCATGTTAGCCTGTCTACACTCTGGAAATCAATCTTCCTTGCTTAGGGCTCCAGGAAGCCTCTCCCCACTCTAGCCTGGGTCTCTTGGGAAAAAGAGGAATTCAGGCAGGAGGAGGCAAGCAGGTGACTCAGCATTCAGCAAAGAGAGGTGCAAGGGTGTGCAAGGGCAAAGAAAAAAGGCAGTGGGGAGGCAGTGCCAGGCCTGGCATGGGTGAAGTAGAGGTGCCTTGCAGAAAGAGAGGCTGGAGCCACACTGTGAAGGGACTTTACCACCATACTGAGCCATGGGTGACACAATCAGAGGCTTGTTTAAAATATATATATAACAGGCTGGGCGCTGTGGCTCATGCTTATAATCCCAGCACATTGGGAGGCCAAGGCGGGTGGATCACAAGGTCAAGAGATCGAGACCGTTCTGGTCAACATGGTGAAACCCCGTCTCTACTAAAAATACAAAAATTAGCTGGGTGTGGTGGCGCACGCCTGTAGTCCCAGGTACTTGGGAGGCTGAGGCAGGAGAATTGCTCGAACCCAGGAAGCAGAGGTTGCAGTGAGCTGAGGTCGCGCCATTGCACTCCAGCCTGGGTAACAAGAGCGAAATTCCATCTCAAAAAAAAAAAAACAAAACAAAAAGATTAGCTGGGCGTGGTGGGGGTTACCTGTAATCTCAGCTACTTGGGAGGCCGAGGCAGGAGAATTGCTTGAACCTGGGAAGTGGAGGTTGCAGTGAGCTGACACTATATGTGATACAAAGCTCATCCCCAAATTTTCTGCCACTTGCAGAGTGGCCTGCTTCTCAGGTTAGTCAGGGTTTGATTCAAAATTAGCATAATGTCTTTCCAGGAGTGTTCAAATAGTTGGGTTAAATTCTGGAAAGCCTTTCTGTCAGGGTCACCTGAAAACTGGCCAAGATCCCCCTTAATTTGCCTTAAGTCCTGTAGAGAGAAGGGACCTGGACCAGGGGGCCAAATTCACCAAGCATCTGTTGGAGGGGCAGGAGTGAGACTGGGGCTGGTCTACGGTGAGGATTTCTACAAGGGGCCAAGTGAGCGAGAGAGAAACTGGGTAGTGAGGACGCCGCGGACCCAGAGGAGCAGGGCCAGAGGGAGCTGGCTCCCTAGCTGGAGGGGCCTCTGGGGTTCGTTTCTTTAGTTCCCTGGGATTGTCCCCTGCAGCCTCTCCTGGCTATAGCAATCCTACATTGTCAGCAAAGGTCAGACACATGTGAAGAAGCCCTGCACATATGGGGCCTCAGACCATTTGCCCTCACATTTACAGAAAAGGTCCCCCTGCAGGATGGTATTGAAATGAGTGGTTCCTTCCTGAGCCAGTCCTTCCTGCAGATTATAATTTGGCCAAACCTCTGTGCAAAGGGCTATGAGGCATTTCCCCCCTAGGGTCTGAGGGTCAAAGCAGTCCCAGTGATTCAGGATACACTCCAGAGAAGTATAGACTGAGGGTGAAGATAGTTGGTGCTCATTCTGAAAGAGGGAAATAGGCATCCCTCATTTTCCTTCCTTCTTTCCCCGAGAGAAAACAGGGGCCCTCCTTTTCTCTTCTATTTTTTTATCCTTGTGTCCTGGCGACCTTAGATGGACACCACCCCTAGGTGCCATTGCAGCCTGCACCCATGAAGCAGGGAGGGCCTAGAGAATAGGAATTATCTGCACTCACCTATGCCTCCATGCCCCATACTGTTGGCAACCTTTGAGTTCCTTGGGCCTTATCTGTGCCATGGAGTATGGCCTCCTTCCGTGTAGCAGGGGTTTAATTGGCAGGAATTAGTCCTGCCCATTTATACTGTGCCTGTTGCCTGCTTTTGAATCCCTCAGATCTGGTTTTCCTTTCTAGGGCTTCAACCTGAAGTTTAGAATTGAGTTTGGGATTGGGCCAGGTGCAGTGGCTCATGCCTATAATCCCAGCACTTTGGGAGGCAGAGGCGGGTGGATCATCAGGTCAGGAGTTCGATACCAGCCTGGCCAACATAGTGAAACTCCATCTCTACTAAAAATACAAAAATTAGCGGGGCGTGGTGGCAGGCACCTGTAGTCCCGGCTACTCAGAAGCCTGAGGCAGGAGAATCACTTGAACTGGGAGGCTGAAGTTGCAATGAGCTGAGATTACGCCATTGCTCTCCAGGTTGGGCAACAGAGCAAGACTTCGTCTCAAAAAACCAAAACCCAAAAAACAAACTAAACAAAACCAAATTGAGTTTGGGATGAAAAGGTGTCTTGGGGGTGCATGGATTCATGATGTAGATTAAGTCCTAGGCAGCCTTGCCAAATTTGCAGTTATTAGCCAGTGGAGTGGCTCCTTCACTGCTTTCTGCAGAGTGCTGAGGTAGGAAAAGAACCCTCTCACATAGAAAAGGAAAGAGGACAGAAAACAACAGCTTAAGAGGGGGAAGAACCTCTCACTCTACGTAAATGGGTTTCTTTAATCACATATCCTTCCTCTGGCTTGGACAGAGCTGAACCCCTCAGGGGAGGAAAGACTCTGTGGGCATGTGGCAGGAGGGGGTGCCAGTGGGAAATGCTGGCCAACTGGCTGTGTGGGGTCCCTGGCCCCCAAGACTGCCCTGGGGTCTGGGCAGCAGCTGCAGTTCTCTCCCACCCCATGTGGCCATTGGGCGCTGCACATGCATGTTCTGGACACGCCCAGGTGCCCCAGCTGGGAGGGGAGGGTGAGGAGGGAAACCACCATGTGCTGCAGACACCTGTGGCTGTTGGGTGGGGGTGGAGGTCGCATCTCTAAGAACAAATGGAAGTCACATTGTTCTGAATTGCATGTATGGTGGCTGGGCCAAATGTTCATTCTACCTAGTAACATTTCTGCAGTTTGCAGCAAAACCCTTATCATGATAAAAGGAGAGAGAGGAGACATTTTTAAAACACAAAAGAAGGAAAGATACCATAGAAAAGTCTGGGGTCTTGGATAACACACTAATGGGTGGTCAGTTGGGGTCCGGTCTGGGGCCTTCCGGCAACACTGAGGAATGGCATCCGCCAGATGCTTTCAGTTGCCCCAGGACTTTATTGTGGTTCCACACAACGGCTAGTCCTCTTTGAAGGGAAACAGCCACCATTCCTTTCACCTGAAAGAGAGAGGTGTCAAGGTTGCATCCTGTCCCCTGCAAATGGCATAGCTCAGAGGAAAGTCTGAGGACAAGAAGTCTCAGAAAAAAAGTGAAGAGACAGATCCGGCAGCTCTGCATTTACTTGCCCTTCTGAGGAATCCTGGATGGGCCCCCAGATGAAGCAGGGTATTTCTCTGACCCCTTTGAGGGACTTGCAACAGGGGTGCCTCATGTTCTCAGCCTGCAGCTCTCAACTCACAGGAGGGAGTGCATGAGTGAATGAGACAGAAACTGGTGTGCATGAGTGCCAGAGCCAGCCTCGGCACTGGCAGGAGGGAACTCACTCACTGGGACCTGCTGTGTTCCACCACTCACAGGAGGAAGCGTGCAGGTGAGCAGGTGCAAGAGCCAGGGTGAGCACTTTTGCACACTGGCACTACCAAATGCCATGCAGGTCCTGTGGCATGGCAGTGTCTAGGGTGGGAGTGCCTGTGACCCTGAAGCCCCAGAGGGAATGATACATTGCTCTTTTAGCTCTGCCATCCACAGCTTAAGTGTTAACAGCTCAGTGGGCCCTCTGCCTTTTCATGTGAGGTGGCTGCCTTTCACCAGTGAGGGTAAAGGGCCAGTGTGACAGCCTCTTGTATCGACACTTGTGGCCCCCGAGCTCTTATCCAGCCTCCAGGAAAAATGAGGTTGCACAAATGAATTGAAGGATGGTGAATGTGGGGGATTTTCTTGCTGATGAAAGTGGCTTTCGGTGAGAGGGGGAGTTGAAAAGGGGCTGAGGCAGGGAGTGGGGAAGGTAATCTTCCCTGAGGTCCAGTAGTCCCTGGTCAGATTCTTCTCTGAAGTCACATTATCAAGCTGTCCCTCTGAAGTCAAGCCACTTCTCTCTGACTTCAACCATAGTCCCCAGTGTGCAGCTGCTTTTCCTCTCTGCCAGCTGAGTGTGGAGTCTATAGGCACAGGATGGGGCAGGGCGAGGCTATGTGGTTTAGGAAAAGGCAACATTCAAGTGGGAAAACAGGGATATAAGTTCTCACTTTGGGCTGTGGTCTCAGGCTTTTCGGCTGGAGGGTGGGGCTTCACCAGGGACCTAACCTGGTCTGCCTAGAATTTCTCTGCCTCTTGCCACTATGACTAGAACTGGAGCTACGGACCTGAGAGGCAGCATAAAAAGATAAAAACCATAGCTAGGTGCAGTGGCTCACATCTGTAATCTCAGCACTTTTGGAGGCAGAGGCGGGCAGATCATGAGGTCAGGAGATTGAGATCATCCTGGCGAACATGACGAAATGCCATCTCTACTAAAAATACAAAAATTAGCTGGGCTTAGTGATGCATGCCTGTAGTCCCAGCTACTTGGGAGGATGAGGCAGGAGAATCGCTTGAACTGGGGAGGCGGAGGTTGCAGTGAGCCAAGATTGCACCATTGCACACTCCAGCCTGGCAAGGGAAAGAGACTCCGTCTAAAAAATACAAGATCCAAGATGGCTGATTGCTAACAGCTCGGGATTGTAGCTCCCAGTGAAAGCACAGAGAACGAGAGGACGCCACACTTTCAGATGAATTTTTGTCACACAGACCAGAAGATTCCCAGTGGAGGAGACCCACGGGTCACCAGTGCAACTCTTGTGGCTGGCACAGTGGTTTTGCCGGCGCCTCCGCGTGGCAGCTCTTCGTGCAGAGAAAACGGGAGGAGATTCCTGGGCAGAAGAGCACCATGAGTCTTAACGCCGCTGTTTTGGCTGGTGCAGTGGGTTGCTCGGATTCCAGCGCTGGGAATCAATAAACTGGATGTCCACTCAGAAACCCAACTAGAAAGGTGGTAATCATAAAGACGACAGATGGATAAATTTATAACAAGGGGAAGAAACCAGCCTAACAAGGCTGAAAATACCCAAAATCAGAACCCCTCTCCCTCTACAGGGGATTACAGTTCCTCATCAGCAGCGGAACAAGCCCTGATGGAAAAGGACTGTGTGCCATTAACAGAAGTAGGCTTCAGAAGGTGGATGATAAGAAACTTCTGGGAGTTAAAAGAATTTGTTCTAACCCAATGTAAAGAAACTAAGAACTTTGAAAAAAGGTTTGACGAAATGCTAACAAGAATAGACAATATAGAGAGGAATATAAATGAACTAACGGAGTTGAAAAACACAACACGAAAACTTAGCAAAATATGCACAAGTTTGAATAGCTGAATTGATCAAGCAGAAGAAAGGATATCAGAGGTCGAAGATCTACTTAATGAAATAAAATGGACCAACGATCCAAGATGGCCGATCGCTAACATCCCGGGATTGCAGCTCTCAGGGAAGGCGCGGAGAACTAAAGGACGCCACACTGTCAGACAAAGTCTGGTCGCTCACGGAGCAGAAGATCCCCCAGTGGTGGAAACACACGAGTCGCCAGCGCGACTCTCGTGGTCGGCGCAGCGGTTCCGCCAGCACCTTGACGCGGCAGCGCTCGGCGCAGAGTAAACCGGACCGGTTCCTCTTCTGACCGAGGTTTGGAGCCCCGGGAAGGCAGAGTCGCCTACTACGGAAACAAGAAGGAAGCCCGACAGGAGAATCCTGGGCAGAAAAACACCATCAGTTTTAACGCCGCTGCTCTGGCCCGGGGAACTAACAACCTGGACGTCCACTCAAGAGACCTAATCTGAAAGTTGGTAATTTCAAAGACGACAGGAGGATAAATTTACAATGACGGGAAGAAACCAGCTTAAAAAAGCTGAGAATACTCAAAATCAGAACGCCTCTCCCTCTAAAGATGATCACAGTTCCACATCAACAATGGAACGAGGCTTGATGGAGAACGAGCGCCTCCTGATGACAGAATCACTCTTCAAGGAATGGATAATAACAAACTTCGGTGAGTTAAAAGAACATGTTGTAGCCCAACGTAAAGAAACCAGGAACTTTGAAAAAAGGTTTGATGAAATCCTATTGAGAATAGACAACTTAGAGAGGAGTATGAGTGAATTAATGGAACTGAAGAATACAATACAGGAACTCCGAGAAGTATGCACAGGTTTAAACACTCGAATTGTTCAAGCAGAAGAAGGGATATCAGAGGTCAAAGTCCAACTTAATGAAATAAAACGTGAAGAAAAGATTAGAGAAAAAAGGATAAAAAGGAATGAGCAAAGTCTCCAAGAAATGTGGGACTATGTGAAAAGACCAAATTTACGTTTGATAGGTGTACCTGAATGCGACGGAGAGAATGAATCCAAGCTGGAAAATACCCTTCAGGATATTATTCAGGAAAATTTTCCTAAACTAGCAAAGCAGGTCAACATTCAACCCCAGGTAATACAGAGAACACCACAAAGATATTCCTCAAGAAGAGCAACCCCAAGGCACATAATCGTTAGATTCACCAGGGTTGAAATGAAGGAGAAAATACTAAGGGCAGCCAGAGAGAAAGGTCAGATTACCCACAAAGGCAAGCCTATCAGACTTACAGCAGATCTCTCGGCAGAAACTCTACAGGCCAGAAGAGAATGGGGGCCAATATTCAACATCCTCAAAGAACAGAACCTTCAGCCCAGAATTTCATATCCAGCCAAACTAAGCTTCACAACTGAAGGAAAAATAAAATCTTTTATGAACAAGCAAGAACTCAGAGATTTTATTACCACCAGGCCTGCTTTACAAGAGCTTCTGAAAGAAGCATTACACACAGAAAGAAACAACCAGTATTAGCCGTTCTAAAAATACACCAAAAAGTAAAGAGCACCAACATAAAGAAGAATTTACACCAACAAATGGATAAAACAGCCAGTCAACATCAAATGGCAGTAACCCTAAATTTAAATTGACTAAATTCCCAATCATAAGACACAGCCAAAACCCAACAGCATGTTACATCCAGACCTGTTTCACATGCAAGGATACACAAAGACTCAAAACAAAGGGATGGAGAAAGATTTACCAACCAAATGGAGAGCAAAAATAAATAATAAATAAATAAAAAGCAGGAGTAGCAATTCTTGTATCGGATAAAATAGATTTTAAAGCAACAAAGGTATAGTGGTAAAAGGATCAATGCAACAACAAGAGCTAACAATCCTAACACCCAGATACGAGACTTAGATTCAGTGAGACAGAAAATTAATAAGGATATCAAGGACTCGAACTCAGATCCAGAACAAGTAAACTTAATAAATATTTATAGAGCTCTCCACTTCAAATACACAAAATATACATTCTTGTCAATACCACATCACACCTACCCATTAGTTTAAATGAAACATTGATTGGCCATTATTAATACCCAATTTTTTTCAAAATAAAGCAATATTTCCATTTACTCTCCCTCTTTCTCTCCTCTTTCTTCCTCTCCTTTACTTATTATTATTTTTTTCTTTCCTTCTCTCAAAAAAAAAGAAATCAACTTGTAAACCTCTAGATCCAGGTCGGCAATGTCTCTTTCATTGCTTGATTTCCTTTCTTCCCTTCCCTCCCTCCCTTCCCGCTTCCTCCCTTCCTTCCTTCCTTCATCCCTTCCTTCCTCCCTACCGTCCTTCTTCCCTTCCTTCCTGCCTTCCTCCCCCCCCAAAAATGAATAAATAAATAAATAAAATGAGAAGGCAAGAATAGAGAAAAAATGATAAAAAGGAATGAGCAAAGTCTCCAAGAAATATGGGACTATGTGAAAAGACCTAATTTACGTTTGATAGGTGTACCTGAATACAACAAAGATAATGAATCCAAGCTGGAAAATACCCTTCAGGATATTATTCAGGAAAAATTTCCGAATCTAGCAAAGCAGGACAATATTCAACCCCTGGTAATACAGAGACCGCCACAAAGATATTCTTCAAGAAGAGCAACCCCAAGGCACATAATCATTAGATTCACCAGGGTTGAAACGAAGGAGAAAATACTAAGGGCAGCCAGAGAGAAAGGTCAGGTTACCCACAAAGGGAAGCCTATTAGACTTACAGCAGATCTCTCAGCAGAAACCCTACAAGCCAGAAGAGACTGGGGGCCAATATTCAACATCCTTAAAGAACATAACTTTCAGCCCAGAATTTCATATCCTGCCTAACTAAGCTTCACAACTGAAGGAAAAATAAAATATTTTATGAACAAGCAAGTACTCAGAGATTTTATTACCACCAGGCCAGCTTTATAAGAGCTTCTGAAAGAAGCATTATACATAGGAAAGAACAACCAGTATTAGCCTTTCTAAAAATATACCAAAAAAGTAAAGAGCATCAACATAAAGAAGAATTTACATCAACGAATGGATAAAATAGCCAGTTCACATCAAATGGCAGTAACCCTAAATTTAAGTTGACTAAATCCCCCAATCAAAAGATACAGCCAAAACCTAATGGTATGCTACATCCAGACCCATTTCACATCCAAAGATACACAAAGACTCAAAACAAAAGGATGGAGAAAGACTTACCAACCAGATAGAGAGCAAAAATAAATAAATAAATAAAAAGCAGGAGTTGCAATTCTTGCATCTGATAAAATAGATTTCAAAGCAACAAAGTTATACCAGTAAAAGGATCAATGCAACAATAAGAGCTAACGATCCTAACACCCAGATACGTAAGACCGATAAAGAGATTTAGACTCAACGAGACAGAAAATTGATGAGGACAACCAGGACTTGAACTCAGATCTGGAACAAGTAAACTTAATAATTATAGAGCTCTCCATTTTAAATGCACAAAATATACATTCTTTAAATACACAAAATATTGATCAGCCATTATCAATACCCATTTTTTAGAATAAAGCAATATTCCCGTTTTCTCCCCTTCTTTTTCTTCCTCTTTCTTTCTCTCCTTCACTCCTTTTTTTCTCTTTCTTTTCTTCTTTCCTTTTTTTAAAAAAAATAAAAATAAAAAAAAGCCATGCAGCCTTGGATAATCATTAAGTTAAAAAGAAATTTGCTTATGGGTCCAAGGGAAGGGGACACTACAGAGTCCATCACTCCCCTCCCCACTGCTACCCCAGGTATTACGTCCTTAACTTTTCACAGCTACACTCAACCTTAGTCAAACTTTTTTTTTTTTTTTGTAATTGTCTGTATCTGTCATGATCAACTGTAATCTGCAAAAGAATAAAAACAATTTCTTTGGCTGCTGAGTGACTAGTTTAAAACTTTGATTTGAAGATGTCATCAGATATCACCTTTGTTTCCGTCTCAAGGCAGGAATGTTTTGCTTCCATTCAATGCAAACAGAGCTGCCTTGATCTGGCTAAAGTTAACTCATCAGATGCTTTGTGTGAGGGACCCCTAAGTTCTTTATTTTAGACAGTGAAAGAGCCAAGGGGGTACCATTGTTGGGCTGTGTTTAGGGCATCAGTTGACCTTGATCCAGCCTTGAAGCCATGATGTAGAATGTTACCAGCACCCTGAAAAATTTCCTCATACCACTTGGCCATCAACCCCTCCCGTCTCCCCTGGCCTCTGTAACCATAGTTTTGCCTTTGCTACACCTTCATATAAGTATTAGACACTATGTAGTCTTTTTTTTTTTTGAGACGGAGTTTTGCTGCAATGGCACGATCTCGGCTCACTGCAACCTCCGCCTTCTGGGTTCAAGCAATTCTCCTGCCTCAGCCTCCTGAGTAGCTGGGACTACAGGCGTGCACCACCATGCCAAGCTAATTTTTGTATTTTTAGTAGAGTTGGGGTTTCACCTTGTTGACCAGGATGGTCTCGATCTCTTGACCAACCTCTGCCTCCCAAAGTGCTGGGATTATAGGTGTGAGCCACCGCGTCTGGCCTACTGTAGTCTTTTGTGTGTAGCTTCTTTCACTTAGCATAAATAATGCTTTGGATTAATCCATGATTTTGCTTATATCAGTAGTTTGTTTCTTTAGGTTGTTATGAGGTATTCCATTGTATAAATCTGCCATAAAATGTTTATCCACTTATCAGTTGATGGACAAATGGGTTGTTTCTGTTTTTTTTACGTGTGTGTGATTATAACTAAGGCTGATATAACCTTTTGCAGAGAAGACTTTGTATGAATATACGTTTTCATTTCTCTTAGCTAAAAATCTAGGACGGTGTTTGCTGGATTGGAAAATAAGTACATTTTAAGTTAATTTTTTTTAAAAAAAGCTAGCTGTTTCCAAAGTGGTTGAATCATTTTGCATTCCCAGCAGCAACATATGAGATATCCAGTTGGTCTGCCTGTTTGGCAGCACTTGGTATTGTCACTCTTTTTGTTATTCCTCATTCTAGTAGATGTGTGATGGTGCTGTACTGTGTGTTTAACTTGGATTTCCCTAATGGCTATTTATGCTAAATATATTGATGTGTTAATTTGCCATCTGTATATATTCTTTGATTGTAAAAGTTACTTATCTAGTATGTCTTTTGCAAACATTTTTTGTCTGTGGCTTTTTTCCTTTTTTAAAAAAATTTTATTATTATTATTTTTAATAAAGACGGGGTTTCACCATGTTGGTCAGGCTGGTCTTGAACTCCCGACCTCAGATGATCCGCCCGCCTTGGCCTCCAAAGTGCTTGGATTACAGGTGTGAGCCACCACGCCCGGCCTTCTTTTTTCTTTTCTTTTTTTTCTGAGATGGAGTCTTGCTCTGTCACCCAGGTGGAGTGCAGTGGTGCAATCTTTGGCTCACTGCAACCTCCACCTCCCAGGTTTAAGCAATTCTTCTGCCTCAGCCTCCCAAATAGCTAGGATTACAGGCACCTACCACCATACCCAGCTAATATTGTATTTTTAGTAAAGACGGGGTTTCACCATATTGGCTAGGCTGGTCTCAAACTGCTGACCTTGTGATCTGCCTGCCTCAGCCTCCCAAAGTGCTGAGATTACAGGTGTGAGTCACCGCGCCCGGCTGCTTTTTTTTTTTTTGAGACGGAGTCTTGCCCTGTTGCCCAGCTGGAGTGCAACGGCGCGATCTCGGCTCACTGCAACCTCCGCCTCCCAGATTCATATGATTCTTCTGTCTCAGCCTCCTGAGTAGCTGGGATTACAGGCACCTGCCACCATGCCCAGCTTTTGTATTTTTAGTAAAGATGGGGTTTCACCATGTTGGCCAGGCTTGTCTGAAACTCCTGACCTTGTGATCCTCCTGCCTCAGCCTCCCAAAGTGCTGGGATTGCAGGTGTGAGCCACTACACCTGGCCCTTTTTTAAGTCTCTTAATGAGGAAGCATAACTCATTTATTTGAGGCTTTTCTCTTCTTTTTTGAGATGGAGTCTCGCTCTGTTGCCAAGCTGGAGTGCAGTGGTGTGATCTTGGCTCACTGCAACCTCCACCTCCCGGGTTCAAGCAGTTCTCCTGCTTCAGCCTCTGGAGTAGCTGGGACTACAGGCGCGTGCCACCATGCCCAGCTAATCTTTGTATTTTTAGTAGAGATGGAGTTTCACCATATTGGCCAGGATGGTCTCAATCTCTTGACCTTGTGATCTGCCCACCTTGGCCTCCCAAAGTGCTGGGATTAGGGATTACAGGCATGAGCCACTGCACCTGACCCTTTTTTAGTCTCTTAATGAAGAAGCTTAAATCATTTATTTGAAGCTTTTCTGACTTAGCAGTGCTTTCAGCATAGCCCGGTTGACATCTGGGCTTTCTGATTGTTGTGGGGGTTACTCTGTGCATGACAGGAGGTTTAGCAGCATCCCTGGCCTAGAACCGCTAGATGTCAGCAGCACCCTCTCCAATTGTGACAACCAAAAGTGTTTTCAGATATTGTCAAATGTCTTGGGCATGGGAGAATTGCTCCTGGCTGAGGTTGACTGTGATAATAGGCATTTTAGGCTATAAACTTCAGTTGTGTCCCACAAATTTTGACATTTTAAAAAATTTAGTCGAAAAAATTTGTTTAGTTTCCTTTGTGATTTCCTCCTTGGAACATGCATTACTATTTTTTTTTTAACTTCTATTTTTTTAGAGACAGAATCTTTCTGTGTTACCCAGGCTATCTATGAATTCCCAGGCTGAAGTGATCCTCCCACCTCAGCCTTCCCGAGTAGCTGGGACTACTGGTGTGTGCCACTGCACGTGGCTGAGGCATACGTAATTTGTATTTTTTAGTTTCCAAATATTTGAGGATTTTCCATAAATATTCCTGTTATTGATTGTTAATTTAGTTCTTTTGTGGTTAGAGAACATACTTTGAATGGCTTCAATTCTTTTGAATTTGTTGAAATGTGTTTTATGGTCCTGCATATGATCTATTTTGGAGAATGTTCAGTGTGCACATGAAAATAATGTATACTTGGATAGAGTTGCCTATAAATGTCAATTGGGTCAAGTGGGTTGATAGTGTTGTTCAAGGTTTTACATTCTGGCCAGGCACAGTGGCCATGTCTGTAATCCTAACAGTTTGGGAGGCTGAGGCAGGTGGATTACTTGAAGTCAGGAGTTTGAGACCAGTCTGACCAACATGGTGAAACCCTGTCTGTACTAGCCAGACATGGTGGCACATTCCTGTAATTTCAGTTACTTGGGAGGCTGAGGCAGGAGAATTGCTTTAACCTGGAAGGCAGAGGTTGTAGTGAGCTGAGGTTGTGCCACTGCACTCCCGCCTGGGCAAGAAGAGTGAAACTCCATCTCAAAAAAAAAAAAAAAGTTTTTTTATATTCTTACCCATTTTTTTCCTACTATCTTCATCAATTACTGATCTCCAATCCTGTTGTGGATTTATCTATTTCTCCTTAAGGGTCTGTTTGTTTTTGCTTTCTGTAACTGCTATTAGACACATACACATTTAGGAGAGTTATGTTTTGATAAATTGATACTTTTATCTTTATAAACTGCCCCTCTATATCCTAGTAATATTCCTTGCTTTGAAATCTACTTTGTTTCATCGTAATATAACGACTCCAGCTTTCTTTTGATTAGTGTTTGCATGGTATATATATTTTTTCCATATTTTAGCTTTTATTTTTATTTATTTATTTATTTATTTTTTAATAAAGACGTGGTTTCTCCATGTTGGTCAGGCTGGTCTTGAACTCCCAACCTCAGGTGATTCGCCCACCTTGGCCTCCAAAGTGCTTGGATTACAGGCATGAGCCACCACACCCAGCCTTATTTTTATTTTTATTTTTTGAGATGGAGTCTCACTGTGTTGCCCAAGCTGGAGTGCACCAAAAGCTCTGCCTCCGAGATTCAAGTGATTCCCCTGCATCAGCCTCCTGCGTAGCTGGAATTACAGGTGCCCACCACCATGCCCGGCTAATTTTTGTATTTTTAGTAAAGACGAGGTTTCGCCATGTTGGCCAGGCTGGTCTCCAACTCCTGACCTCAGGTGATCCACCCGCCTCAGGCTCCCAAAGTGCTGGGATTACAGGGGTGAGCCACTGAGCTCGGCCCTTATTTTAACTTTTAAACTTTCTGTGTCTTTATACTTAGCATGGGTTTCTTATAGAGGGCAGTTAATTGGTTCTTGCTTTTTTTTTTTTTAATCCAATATGGCAATATCTGTCTTTTAACTAGGTGTTTAGAAACTATTTACTTTTTTTTTTTTTTTTTGAAACAGAGTTTCACTCTGTTGCCCAGGCTGGAATACAGTGGGCAATCTTGGTTCACTGCAACCTCTGCTTCCCAGGTTCAAGTGATTCTCATGTCTCAGTCTCCTGAGTAGCTGGGATTACAGGTACCTGCCACCATGTCTGTCTAATTTTTATATTTTTAGTAAAGACAGGGTTTTACCACGTTGCCTAGGCTGATCTTGAACTCCTTACCTCAAGTAGTCTGCCCTCCTTGGCCTACCAAAGTTCTGGGATTACAGGTGTGAGCCATGGTGCTGGGTCACCATTTACATTTAATATGTTGATACAGATGGGTTTATCATCTTGCTATTTCTTTTTAATTATCCCATTTGCTTTTTTTTCTTTTATTTTTTGCTAGCTTTTCTCTGTCTCTCTTTTTTCATTGAAGTACTACTCCACAATCCTGCTGTCTTTGATCTTGAGTACCTGATGCCATTTTACCTCTACAGTGGAGGTAATAATTTTCTACCATGGCATGTAGTATATGAGTCTTACCTATTAACTTCTGTTTCCCTCCACCATTTCTATGTTTTATGAAAATCTTATTACTTTCATATATTTAAATTTACATGTGCTACAAACTGCACAATGTATTGTTATATTTGCTTGAACCTATTGTCATTTAAATAGATTAAAAAGGTAAAAATGGGCCAGGCACAGTGGCTCACACCTGTAATCCCAGCACTTTGGGAGGCTGAGTCGGGTGAATCACCTGAGACCGGGAGTTCGAGACCAGACTGGCTAACATGGTGAAACCCTGTCTGTACTAAAAATACAAAAATTAGCCAGACATGGTGGTGGGCGCCTGTAGTCCCAGCTACTCAGGAGGCTTAGGCAGGAGAATCGCTTAAACCCAGGAGGCAGAGGTTGCAGTGAGCTGAGATTGCGTCACTGCTCTCCAGCCTGGGTGACAGAGTAAGACTCCGTCTCAAAAAAGTAAAAATGTCGTTTTGAGTTTACCTATATGTTTACAATTTTTGGTGCTCCTTTGTGCAGATCCAAATTTCCATCTCATGTCATTTTCCTTTTGCCTGAATAACTTTCTTTGACATTTCTTGTCGTGTAGATCTGCTAGTGAAGAATCCTGTTGGTTTTTTTTCTGAAAAAGTCTGTGTCTTGCCCTCATTTTTAAATGATAAGGAGATAAACCTGGGGTCTCCATTCCTCTTCCCTGCCCCTCACTGAGCAGAGTTCTTATGCACTGCTGCCTTGTGGGAGGTGGAGGTGGGTTCAGAGGTTTGTGAAAAGCCCAGGGCTGCATGCCTGCTCCACAGGCATCTTTAGAGGCTTCTTGGAGAAGCTGGTTGGGCAGCCCTGACTCTTCGAATCTCTGTGTGTCCTTGGGAATGTCAGGTGGAAGATCGATGTGCATTTGCAAGTGGGAGTGAGTGTGAGAAAAGAAAAATGGGTTGGGCAAGGTAGGGTGTGTCCAGAGAACAATGGCGACTTTTGTTATCTGTGCTCTACCAAGAGTTCTGCGACTGTGGAGAATGCAATTGTTCTCTATCTCTTTTGTAGTTTGGAAGTTCTCCATGAAGTCTAACCGCGGGTCATATTGTTGTTCAGTCTAGAATTGGAGGATGGATATAATTCCATAAGTATGAAATAATATGCAGAGTTTTTGGAAACCAATTACTGGGCTCACCCACTCCACCGGAAACTCAGGCCTCCTTCATTTCACTCCCACCAGCAATGTCACTCACTTTAACATCTGAACTACTCTTAGATACCAGAGGGGAAACCGAGGCATGCAGGTGCGAACGTGGCAGCAGTCCCCAAAGAGCCCATCGTAGTCACTTCTGGTGTCGGCCCTGGCTCATCTGTGCCCTGGGCACCGCGGGGAACCGCCCCTGGACAGCCAGTGGCACACGGAGTTCTCGGTGGGCGCAGGGAACACTCGTGGGCATCGGGTTGCCCGCTTCGCCCCACGCTCTCGATGCACGTTCCTGCCGCCTGGCAATGTCCCAGGTGCAGATCACAGCCTGGAATTGCTCTTCCCGGTGCGGCCAGACAGCTGAGCCTTGTGCACCGGATGGGGGGCAGGCGGGTGCGAGCGGGAATCCGGGCGAGCGTGCTCCACCCGGGCAGTGCGGGCCTGGAGCGCCCTCTGGCGGGACGAGGCGCTGAGTCTTGCGTCTCCGGCAGTGGGATTGGCCCCGACTCTCCTCGAACGCGCGGGACAGCGCTGCCAGGGGGCGGAGCTCTGAAAAATTCGACAACCACGCCTCTCTCTCCAGGGCCCGCACTGCATCCTAGGCTGACACCCAGGAGGCCCAAGACAGCCCTGGGAGGCCACTAGGACGGGTCTGGTGGGGACATCAGTGTGGACATCTAGTTGCAGGGTCGAAGGTCACACAGCCCCCTTTCTGTCTGAACTGGCCACTGCCTGAAGGAGCTGGACTGGGCATCGTGGTGTGCCACCACCTCACTGCCATCGTGCTGAGCCCACCTCCTTTCTGGACCTTAGAGGACGAGGGGTGTGAAGGTCAGGGCAAGCTGTGGGTGTCCAGAGTAGAGGAGGGGCCTCTTCCCTGCAGGGATGTACATGGGAAGTTTTCCATGAATCAGTCTTTTCCTTCCCTCCCTCCCTCCCTCCCTCCCTCCCTCCCTCCCTCCTTCCTTCCTTCCTTCCTTCTTTCCTTCCTTCCTTCTCCCTCCCTCCCTTTCTTCTTTCTTTTCCTTTCTTTTCTTACCCTTCCTTCCTTTTTCTTTCTCTTTTCTTTCTTTCTTTTTCTTTCTTTTCTGTCTTTCTTTCTAGATGG